ATCATCTCTCCCCCAATCCCCCGACCGGGAAATCCCCGGCCGGGCAATTTCACCCCTCAGGATATTTCCCACCTGGTGTGGGCTACGGCCCGCAGCGGCCACCCGCCGCCACCCGACTGGCTGGCGGCCATGTGTACGGAGGCGCACGGGTGCTTGAGGGGCTTCAGGGCGCAGGTACGGTCGGCTGGGTAGTGGTGGGGGTGGGGGGTGGGGGTGGGGGGGTACAGCGGGGGGAGTGGTTCTGGGGTGCGGTGGGGTGTTAGTGTCGTCGTACTCGTAGGATGGGCCGGGGGCCGAAGCCGAAACACCGCGGGCACTCAGCACAAGCCGCGGTTAGTCTTGTGTGCTCCCGACCCCGACTCAGGCTCTGCTAACACACGACGCAGCCGTTACAGTAGCGCCTCTGTCCGGGGAAGGCGCTGCAGTACGTACGTATGTATGTATGTGATGACTGTGGTGTGGGAAAATGTCGTACCTTCCAGTCCGGAGGTTCCATTCACTCCTCCCTCCCCCTTTTCTTTACCTGTACGGCCCTCACCCCCTCCTCACCCCCTCCTCACCCCCTCCTCACCCCCCCCCCACACCACCGCGGTCCGCAGGAGGTGTGCAACCTGTTGTGGGGTTTGGTGGTATCCGGATATAAGGCCCCGGAGGCCTGGATTACGACGACCATCACCGCGGCGCAGAACATGCTGCCGACTTTCAAGGTACAAGCAGGGCGCTGCTTAATCGACACAGTGCTGTGTCTACAACACACTGCTCGTACGACTATCCTGTGTACACGTGCACGTACAAAACACACACGTTGGCAGTGTTTTGCGGCCTTTTTCTGCAGTTTGCGGCCTCCAGATTGTGTTTTTCCCCGTTCCCCTCCCGGACTTCTCCCCCCTCTCCCGGACCTCTCCCCTCCCTCGCGTGCAGGCCTTTGAATTGGCTGTGTTACTTTGGTGCCTTGCCTCCTTGCAAGCCGGGCCCCTGCTTCCTCGCACATTCGCGGGGGCGCTGTTCTTCCACTCGGGGCCCAAATTGGGGTTCTTTAGCGCGCAGGTGGGGGTCGGGGTCGGGTAGGGGGGAAATTTGTCCGTGTGTTTTGTGTGTGTGCCTGTGGACGTTCCTGTGTTTTTATTTATGTTTAGTAACCAGGTTTTTGAGCGAGAAGGGGAAGAGATAGGCGGGCCAGCTGCGAAGGAGGAGAGGAAGCAGCGCACGAGCGAATTAGGAAACCATTTCACCGATGTCGACAGATGACGAGTAGCGATATGCGAGAAGAAAGATGTGTGTATGTATGTATGTGTTTCATGTGCATTTCCTAGCCCCCCAACCCGCAAGCCCCCACACCCCTTCTCCTCCTCCCCCATATACACATGATTATTCTCCCTCCCACGCGCACATCGGGGTTCCCCAGCCCCAATACATGCACCCCCCTCTTCCCGCCTTCCCCCCAAACACCCCTCTCCCCGCCCACCCACCCACGTTTCATACACTCTTGCCCTGGCAGCAGCTTCAATCGTGTGTGGTTCGTCCTTCCCCGCCCACCCACCCGCCAACCCCGCCGCCTCACAGGACTGTGCCAACGTCATGTGGTCGCTAGGCCGCCTGAAGCTGCGTCCCCCCGAGCCGTGGATGGCCGCCTTTGTGGAGGAGTCCTTCACCCAGCTGCCCCACTTCACCCCCCAACACCTGGCCAACGTCATGTGGGGGTTTGCGCGGCTCAGTCGCTGTCCCCCGGAACCTTGGATGGACAGGTGAGGGGTGAGAGGCGGGGGGGAGGGGGGGATACCCTCCCAACCCTACTTCCCCCCACCAGCCTCCCCCTCCGTCCCCTGCCTCGACGCCTCCCTCCCCCGCCCCGCTCTGCCCCGTCGGCCCCTGTCAGGTTCTTCCTGGAGAGCCGGCCACTGCTGCTGTCCTTCAAGACCTCCGAGCTCGCCATGCTGGCACTGGCACTGGGTATTTCCCGCCTGGACCCCCCCCGCCAGTGGCTCAACCAGCTGCTGGTGGCGTCGTACTCCAAGCTAGAGCACTGCAGGTACGGTGTACGGTATAACCCCTTCCCCCTACTTAATTCTGCTGTGTTCTCTCCGCGCACATCTCTGTCTCCCCCTCCGTTCCCGCCCGCCCGCTTCTCCTCCTGGTGACATCTACCCCCCTTCCCGCCCCAAACTCAGTGGTTCGTCTCAACCCCCAAACTCACCTTATCTTCCCGCCTCTCCCGCCTCTCCCGCGTCTCCCGCCTCTCCCGCCTCCCCCACAGCGCCCAGGAGCTAGCCCACTTGGTGTGGGGCCTCTGGCGCCTCTCCTTCAAACCGCCGCAGCGGTGGCTGGGGGCGGTGGCGGAGGCCGCATCTAGGTTGCTGGCCCGCGGTGGAGCCGTCACCCCCACGGACCTGGTGACGCTGGACAGGGCCTTTGCAACTTTTGGCGCGGAGCTGCCGGTGAATGTACGGCAGGCGCTGGAAGCGGCGAATGCGGCGGCGGCGGCGGCTGCTGGGACGGAGGCGGAGGAAGTTATGCCGTTGCAAGACCCGGCGGCGCGGCGGCGCCAGCAGCAACAGACAAGGACGACGACAACGATGAGGAGGAGGGCGGGGCTGGGGCAAGGGCTGCGACGCGGCGCAGCCGGTCAGCAGATTAAGAATCCGAGTAAGCAGCTGCAGCGGCAGCAGCAACCGCCGCCGCCGCCGCCGCGGGAACGTAATTTGAGGCCGCGATTACACCAGCAGCAGCAGCAACAACAGCAACAGCGGGGCAACTTTGTGAAACAAGATCAAGAGGGGATGCCCCCGCTGCCCGCACAGAGGCGGAGGAGGAGAACAGGAGATCTCCAAGTCAGCTTCAGCACCCCTTCCTCGCAGCAAGATGCCGCATCCTTGGGAGCAGCAGCGGCGGCGGCGGCGGATGTAGGTGCGCTGCCGGAGGCGGCTACTTTAGCGGCACCCGTAGGGAAGGCGGAAGCGGAGGTGGCGACTGCGGCAATGAGTGCGGCGAAGGTGGAGCTACCACCACTGCCGCCGCAGCCGCCGCCGCTTAAACGCGCACGTCTGCTCAGATCACCGTTACGGGATGTCGTGCCGTCAGCCCGGCAAGTGGAGGCTGCGGCGGTGCCAGATGAAGCAGTAATGGTGGCTTCGGAGGACGCCCTTGCGGAAAGCGGCGATGTTGCGGCCGCCGTGTCGGCGGCTGCAGATGCCGCAGCCGCAGCTTATCCGGATGGTTGTGGTCGTGGTCGTGGTGGTGATGCTGGCGGAGGCGACGCTGCGGCGCAGAGTGTCGTACAGCAGGCGGCAGAAGCGGCGGTAGTTGACATGGTGGTGGCGGCGGCGCTGCCCCGGGCGCTGGGAGAGGAGGTGCAGCCGCAAACCGGTCTGGCTGAAGTGCCGCCAGGCGAGGCTTTGTTAGGAGGCGCGGAGATGCCGTTACCAGCGGCGGCGGCGGCGGCAGCAGCGGCGGCGGAGCGGCGACGGGAGAAGCGACGGAAGGACCGACAGGTGAAGCGGCGGGCAGTGGCGGCTGCTGGGAGTACGGCAACAGCGTCATCAATTACGGCGCCTCGCGCACCCCCGGCCGCTCTCCCCGACCACCAACCCCAGCATCCCGCAGTGGAGAAAAATAACTCGTTTTCTGGTGTTGCAACAGCTGCTGCTGCAGCGGCTGGTGTTGCAACACTAGAAAGTGACTCCTCTTTCTCTGCTGGTGCTGCTGCTGCTACTACCACCGGGCTTGGCGACGAGGGCGCTGGCCGTAGCGGCGGCGGCGGGGGCAGTAACTGCCCAGCTGCAAATGCACCCTCTACCGCCACCACCACCACCACCTCTACCACCGCCAAGGGGGGCCCGGGTGGTCCACAGCTTCCAGGCAACGACGACGAGGACATCCACCTCCGAAACCCACTCCATTCCCCAGCTCCCACGGCAACCCCACTGCCACCAGCCACAATCCACCTAGGCGCTACTGCCGCCACTACCGTCAGTGCAGAACTGGCCGGCGGGGAGGACCGACGGGAGACCCGTGGGTCAGCAGGCGCCGCCCCCAGGCCAAGCGGCATAGCTGCATTAGCGCCACCCGGGCTGAGCACCGGGTCGGGAGGTGGAATTGAAAATGGATTTGGATTTACCTGGGCAGGTCCTGGACTGAATTCATCACTGGATTCGGAATCCAGCTCTTCGCAATCAGGATTACCGGGTGGGGTCGGGACCGTATCGGGGCTGAAGGCGGCAGTAGCCGTGGTGGGGGCTGTAGAGGGGTTGGGAGAGGGGCCGGAGCCGCAGCACCAGCAGCCACAGACGCGGGTGAGGGGGGTGGCGGGCACTAGGGCCCGGCGGCTTGCTCGCCATCGCGCACTGCAGCAACGGAGTAGCACCAGCACGAGCACCAGCACCGACAACGACACCGGCGCGGCGCTGTTGTCACTGACGACGGGCGCGCGGGGCGAAGGGGAAGAGGAACTCAGCTGAGGAAAGCAAGATGAAAACGTTGGTAGCAGCAGCGGTACTAGTGAATACTGCTGCGATAGTGGTGCATTTTATTGTTACTGGACGAGGAAGAGGAGGGGAACATGGTTACAACGTGGTGTATGTGTCGCACGGTTTTAAAAGGGTTTTAAGGTTGGGTTAGAGCGTAATATGTCTCTTAGGTCGAGGTGGAGTCATATCCACTTGATATTTTACTGAGGTGGAGCTGGTGGGGCCCAGGGATATAGGGATATAGGGGTGCTGGTGTTGGAGGGGGGGGAGGAGGTAGGGGTTCGGGAGGTAGGGATAGCCTTGCTAGGGATAGCCAGGCCTTTTCAGACCGAAAGCCTGTTAGGCAGTTAAGAGGAACTCCCCAATATCGCTTAAGACGTCGTCACCCGTCGTCAAGGCCATCTCTGAGGTCCGCCACCACCCTGCAGCTCATGATGCTATTCGAGCTCCTGGCTGGCTCTTGACACACGTCACAGCCGCCGCCGTCCCGGGCCTTCCAGCGTTTGCCAGCTAAGCAGTCGCGAAAAAGAAACCCAAACGAACCTCAGAGAGGATCATGAGCCGCAAAGCTGGAAACAAAAATTATGAAGAGGAATCTCTTGTGGTGTTATGTTAGCCTTCCGGTTGATTTGGACTGTACGAGCTTTTACGAAAAGCTTGTAAGCATCCATCAACGGTCAAAGTATTCGCTGTGTTTTCCCAGACGCCGCCTTATTGTGCGATATGTCACTTTTAGCCGTTGGTTCCCCTCTGTTGTTGTTCGCCGTGGGTAAAAGCCACAGCAGACGTCCTTGCATGCAAACGGTCAACGGTCTGATGGCCTCTGAACGCAACAACTGCCCGCATCTAAGAAGAGCAACCTTTCACTCTTTTGTGATCGAGGTGGTCATCTCCCCCGCATCTTCCCAATACCGAGCGAGGTGACCTCCGAAGAGGGCCTTGTCGTCGTCGTAACTCGCGTCAGACCCGTCCAGCAGTTCTGTTCTCACATCTTGGTGTCGGGGTCACCGGAGCTGGCCCCAGCTCGCCATAGCCGAGGATGAGCGTCATCTCCTACATAAAACTAAGATTAAGGTGTAATCACAAGTAGATAAGAATTTGGACAATGGGAATGAGTAGTAGCCCGAATTCAGTGGTGGGGTGCTGCGGTGGGCAATGCGGGGTAAGGTTTCTTTCCCACGCTGATGCACTCCAGGGCCCTATATGTAGGCCCCCCTGCTTCGGATCCCTCCTGCACTGTACACCTCCGCCAAACGGCCATTAGCTGCCTTTTGACCCGCCTCTCCACCTGTTGAGCCGGGGCAGAGAGGCTTCTGAGTGATAGGAGAAGGAAAGGCACAACGGGTCCATCCAGCCCATTTCCCTGTCGCAGGGACGGTTTAAGTGGTGCGTGGATGGCAACGCCGATGCTTCTCCATGCACCTATTCTTTATGCTGCGGTGACAGTTGGAGCTGCTCACTGTTGAACCCCAAGGATATGACGATTGCTTCCTGCAGAGCTTCGCTATTATGTCCGTGCCAACCGTACTACTGCCGTACCTTGGGCAATATTTCTAGAATAAGTGGGGAACTGCGAATGCTGTTCTGAGGAGAGTCCTGCTATAGCTTTGTTAGGATCTGAACTTAATCGATGAACTTGGAATTTCAATCGACAACTGAAGTTGCACATGGTCTTGAAGGACTTGAGCTTAAGGTGTGCCAAGTGATCTGCGGACTTTGATTGAAACAGATTTAAGCTACTTTATAGCGTCACTGCAACACAATGGACGTTCAATTCCAAATTCGGCAAAATGCCATGGAAATGCAAGAGTACATGAAGGACCTGTTCGACTGGCAAAAGTCAATAAAGAAGAAGGAGAGAGCCCTCGTCGCCAGCGCTTCTTCAGGAGATTCGCAGCGGTCCACGGCCCCCGCTCCGCGAGGCCGCGCCAGCGGGGCAGTCGCAACCCCAACCGCGGAGCTCATGCAACCCGCGATGGGGCCCAAGACCCGTGGCACGGTATCCACAGCCCCTTCTGCAGCCAAAGCCAGTCAAGGCACTTCGAGTGCTGCAGCCGACAAGAAAACCGCAGCAGCGCATACCTACACCTCGTACGGAAAGTGGGACAAATTTGACGTTGACGCGGCGCTTGCCTCAGACGACGATGAGCAGCAACCAAACAACGCTGCAACATCTAGCAGCAAGAAACGATCCCAGCCGGATGCTGCTGCAGGAGCAGCAGCTGCCGGGGGCTCCAGCAGCAAACCCAACGGTGGGGCACTGCAAGGCAACGGCGTCGCGGTGGCGTTGGCGCCGCCGCCGCAAAACGACGCAGCCGCCGCCAGCGGCGTCATCACACCTGGCCCGTCAAAGGGCGGCATAACACTCTCCGCTCGCGACCCTGCGGCCTCACCCTCAGAGGATCTGCTCAAGCCCGTTGCCACCACCCGCCTAACGAAGCCCGGCGGTGTGGCTGGCGGCGGCGGCAGCACAGCGCCACCACCAGCGCCAGCAGCGTCGCCGCAGCTCCCCAAACCCCCCGCAGACCCCCGTACCCCCGCGACGGAGCTGCCGCCCATCCGCAACAGCCAGCCCACCACCGCCGACGCGTGGCGCGCTCGTGGCAACGACCTATTCAAGGCCGGGCAGTACGACAGCGCATACGAGTGCTACAGCCGATCTGTGGAGCTGCAGCCCACGTGCCTGGGTCATGCCAACCGGGCCATGGCGCTGCTCAAGCTGAGGCGGTGGCAGGTGCGGGTGGGGGCCCATTAGGACAGGGGCTACGGTGGGCAGCAGCAATGTCAGACCTGGCACAGGACCTCAGGGCTATAACCAGAAACCAATGCCGGCAGAACGTCAGCGCTTTATGGGAGCATCTGGAGACAATGGCCCCAGAGGAGACCATGACTTCCCCAAGGCCTCCCCCAGACCGACAACTTTAAAGGGGGACCAGGGCCGAGGAATGAAGGGTACACAGCTAAGAGCGCTAAACCTAGGGCGGAAAAGGAAGACTAGGGGAGCTCGGTCACTAAATCTTCCGTCAGGCCTCCACAACCTTTTTACAACACTTTTTAAAAACACTTTGTAAATCACAGAAATCAGAGCACGTCCTCTCCATGCTATGTACTCGATCAGATCACCTGTTTCGGCACGTGGTGTGATATTGGTGGTGGCGCTTTTCACCCCCCAATCCGTAGGAAGCGGTGGAGGACTGCACCCGCGCGATTGATCTGGACCCCTCCTACGTGAAAGCCTACCAGCGCCGCGCCGCTGCCCATCGCCAGCTGGGGGCCTCGCTAGACGCAGCGCGGGACTGGGAGCAGGCGCTGAGACTGGAGCCGGAGAACCGCGCGAGTGCGGCCGATCGGGACTCCTCAGTGGAGCAGCTGCTGACAGAGCAGAAGCTACAGCCGCCGTCGCGGCGCGTCTCGGTGCCCATTCAGTGGAAGCTGCCGCCGGCGCCGGCGGCCGTGCAAGCGCATCCGGCGCACGCGCCGGCGGCGGCGGCGGTGCCTGCCCCGGCGCCTCGTGTCGGAGCCCAGTCGGCGGCGGATCGGGGCCCAGACACGGCGGTCGCTGCCGCACCCGGTTCAGAGCCGACCACGAGTCTGCAGCCGCCTCCTGCCCCTGCAGAAACAGCTGCTACTGCGGCGACGGCGGCCGCGTCGCTGCAGCAGCAGGACGCCGCGAGCACTGCAACGCCTGGCGGAGGCGGGGCAGCCAGGACAGCGCGGGGAGCAGCGGCCCCTGCCGCGGCGGCGGCAGCCGCCGCCGCCGCTGCTGCCGCCGCCGCGAAAGGTGTCCCGCGCACCAGCGTTGAGTTCGAGGGTGCATGGCGAGGTATGGCAGGCGATGTTCGCCGCCAGGCAGCCTACCTGGCTGCCATACCACCTGCAAGCCTGCCATCCATCTTCAAGAACAGCCTCACGGCGCCTGTACTGGCGTCGCTGGTCCGGTGTCTGCTAGCTGCCATGGCGCTATCACCGGCGGACGCCATGTCACCGCCATCGCCATCTTCCCCTTCCGCAGCGGCAGGTGCGGTACCCCTCGCCCACGGTGTGGCGCTCCTTGAAGGCATGACCCGGGTGGCTCGGTTCGACCTGATGGTGATGTCTTTACCGCCCAGAGAAAAACAGGAACTACGTGCTGCGTGGGACGTCCTGCTTTCGCAGCTACGGCTGCGGCGGAGCGCTAACGGGGCCGAGGGCGCGGGTGAGGGTGAAGTCGAGGAAGCAGCTAGGGGCCTGGAGGTGCTGCGGTCCAAGTACAGGATGTGACTTGAAAGACCGGTGGACTGAGAGCTGATCATCTGCGTCTGTTGGGATCTGTTTTTGGCGATCTGGGAGGTTTGACGTGCGACGAAGTCAACTTCCCGGAGGGCCATCGTGTTCCCTTTTGGGAGTGGAGAGGCGCCCTGGTTTCGGAGCCGGGAAACGTGGTGACACGCGCATGCATTTCGGAGAACCTCCTTACGGTGGGGCCTTGTTGTGCGCTGGATTGGGGACGGGTGGGTACATTGGAGATGGCGATGACTCAAATGGGTTTTGAGATCCGGTTGGGACCATCAGAAGTTTAAACCAGGTGGGACATTTGCTACTTTTAATGTGCGGGCCCGGCGCGACGAGAGGTGGTCGGCCAGGTCTGCGGCGAGAAGCGGTCTGCCAGAGTTCTGGGGCACGCCGCCGCACACACGGGCCGCCTAAGACAGCGCCGTCAACACGACACCACAACTCAACTTAACAAAAAATGCGCGCGGTTGCACCCCTGCGGTGGGGAGTGTAATGTAGCAGTAGGATACAGCAAAGCAACGCAACCTCTTTGCTTGCTCTCAGCGTTCGTTCCCTCACAGACTGCTGCCTGCCTGCCTGCCTGCTCCGCCTCTCAGTCCGTTACACGCCCCCACGTACCCCCAGTAGCCGCTACAGCACACACTCCTGCATACACACAGAAATCTCCAACCGCCACCAATGCCCTCCTATAAGCTGCACCAATCCGCAATCCTCGCAGCCAGTTTGTATTACATTTTTCCAACAGCCGATGTTCAGTGCCAGCGCACTAAGAAAGCATACGTCTCCTTAACCCGAAATGCGATGGATGATGCGATGGAAAGGACTCAGCGTCAACACCAAACCGCCGCATCCAACTCCCACTCCTGGTGGATTATTAACACACACACACGCACGAAAAGGAAGAATGCCTCTGCCGCCGTTAGTATGATGATGAAGCCCTGCACCACGTCTTCGTGTCTTCCTGTACAGCTAAAGCCTGTACAGCAGCAGACGGGGAGGAAAATGACTGAAGCAAAACACCGCCACAGCACTCCTCGCATCCATTTAGTCATTCCGACACGAGGAAGCCACCCGTCCACCCACTCACTCACCCACTCACTCGCTCACCCACTCACCCACTCGCTCACCCACTCACTCGGTCGGTCGGTCAGTCGGTCGCCAGCGACCACTACAAAACTGGCAGAATAAGCTCCCCGGGGGCCTCCAACTGCCAACGGTCATCACCATTGGTATCTGCTTCCTCCGCATGGGGAGGGAACCGGATACCACGTTCCAAGTGCCTATCATCGCTCGAACGGCTGTGGCATCGCCGCCACCGGGGCAGCTGTCGGTGACGGGAATGGCGATCACGGTGATTGTGTGGGACATCCTCCCGGCGACGATCTGTTCTGCTCTGATGGTGTTGGTAATCTTGGTGGTAATGGCGACGGTGGTGGTGGCTGCTGAACGGCTGGGTGCGCCCCAGGCCGTCTCCATCGCTGCCATCACCGAGTCGCTCATGTTCCCGCCGATGATGCCGCCGCTGTTTGTGCCGCTCGCGACTCTCGCTCCGACCCCGACTATGGCTGCTTCTGCGTCTGCTTCCGCTTCTCCCCGTGTCGCTGTGCCTTCGCCTGGACCTTTTCCAGCCCCGACCACTGTCACGTGCACAGCCCCCTTCCCGCAACCCGTCGCCATCCTGCCGCTGCGCAACCGGCATGTGTACACCATCATTACACACAACATCGCGGGCCAGGGCTGCGGCCGCAGCTCCCGGCACAACCCCAGGGTTTCCTTCCCGTGGGCCCCCCGTGGGAACCTCCGTCCCGCACTCCACCACCGTTGCCGTTGCCGCGCCGATAGCCTCGTCGACAGCTGCGCGATCTGCCACTCTAGCAGCTGCCGCTTCCGCAGCGGCGACAGCACCCCCATGCGCTGCCAGCACCGGCTCTGTGGCGCCCGGGCGCTGTGTCCCGCCGGGGGGCAGAACAGCTTCACTTGCGGCTCCCCGTGGATGTGCGAGCACCGCAGGTTCAGGTCGCTCGTCCCATCTTCGACGCCGCTTGGCGGGACGACCGGTTGTTGCATCGCCAACCGCCTCGGCCATGTGGACGGCCGCCTCGTTAGTGAACCCCGGGCAAACGACGCTTGCGTCCCATCGACTGAGAGACGGCCTCGTCCGCTCGCCTGTCAAGACGCCATTTGCTGCTGCCTCGGCGCCTCCACCTCCGCTGCCTCGGCCGCCTCCGCCACCTGTGCGCACCGCTGCGGCGCCAGCTTCATCTCCGTGCACGAGAGACGTGTCTCCCAGCCGCCACTGCCCCACGACCTCCGGTTCCACGTCACCATCATCGTCGTCGTCGTCATGGATACCTCCGGCGGGTTCGGAGCTGTCGCTGCCGGTGCTGCTGCTATCGAGTAGTGTCAGATCAACCACCTCAATACGGCGGACAGCAGCACCAGTACCAGCTTCTGCATCCGCTGGCCGCCGAAGCTGCAAGCGGGTCGCCTGATTCTGCTGCGGTAGCAACGGCGGCGGCGGCGGCTGCAGAGGGGCTCCCTGGCCACCTGCTGCTAGGCTGTGCAGCGACGCGGGCGCGACGGAGCTGGATGACATCACCGCAGTTCGAGTCGGCAACGGCACCGCAACGCTCGCCAGTGACGGCGCCGCCAATGCCAGCGGTGCACCCGCTATCCGCGGCCGTCGCAGCGGTGGGTGGTATCGCGTCACCCGTGGCCTATGCGAGGCAGCCACCGGCGATTCCGAGGGCACGTCACCGCCGCCGCCGACGCTGCCGCCGCCGGCGCCACTACCGCCGCCGACGCTGCCGTGGTAACGGTACTCTACCCGCGCATCGTACACTTGTACGGTCAGACCCGACAGCACGAAATGCCTGTGCGCAAGATGGCCACGCAACACTACAGTAAAGATAGTGTCCCAATCGCTCCGGGGTAACCAGCACATCAGTCATGCCGCAGTGGTGCGCCACCACCACCACCACCACACGCACCTCCGCAATATCGAAATCCCCACACATCATAAGAGGCGACATGATTAATACAACCGGCGGAAGGGGGACCAACAACCCTAGTCATTCACTCGCGGTATAAGCACAGACGGACTGTATCTTCCAACCAATCCAACCATCCCCACGAGGCCTTACCAGCCACAGTATTTGTGTATATCCACCTAGCGAGGTCGCCACCGTGCACCTCCGTAATGACCCACCTGATCTCGTGCCAAAAATGCGAAGTGCGCTCCAGCAGGAAGGGCCGCAGAGACGCCAATGGACCACCACCACCTCCACCATCCTCCGCCGCCGCCACGGCAGCACCGGCCCCACCGACGACGGCCCCCGGAAGCTGCTGCTGCTGGCGGTGCTGGCGGTGCCGCCGTGGCAGCACCAGCTGCTGCCGACTATCCGACACCACCACATGCGGCCCAGAAGACGCCGCCGCACCCACCACCACCGCTGCTGCTGCAGCTGCCGCCTGGTAATCCTCCCCTGTCGTCGCGGCTGCTGACGTGGGGATGGGGCACGTCTGCACTGCTGTAGTCCGCTGCTCCAGCTCGGCGGACCAGTCGCGGTCCACTCCAAACCTGTCGACCAGGCTGACCACGAGCGCCCGAAGCAGCGATAGGTCCTGCGAACCCGTACAGCCAGCGCGGACACGTACACCAAGGGACGGCTCTTGCCGTCATGCGACTGCAGGCGTGATGATGCAGGACTACAGCCAGGAAGCAAACTGCCTTTGCCGTTTTTTTTGACTTCAGGATTGAGGAGCGCCGACTGGGCTTTGCTTTGGGATAATTTAGAAAGGCAACTAACTGTAACTAACTGAAATTTTTAGAAAGGTGCTGCGTATCCATAACTCCCAAGTATATTTACACTAATGAGCGAATGGCAAGGTGGTACCGCATTTGAACTCACCGTGGCTCCCAGCAACGCCTGCAGGTCCCGGCCCACCCACAACTCCAGCTGATGCCGCCGCTCCTCCGCCCGGCTAGCCGCCGCCGCAACGCCCGCCACAGGCAGATGCCCGCCGCGGACGCTGCCGGCCGGGGAACCCGAGGCGGCACCGGCGTTGCGGCCGCTGGGGCCTCCACCGCCCCTCAACCCCACAGCCCAGAGGCCCACATCGTAAATCCGCCGCCGAATAGCGACGGCGGCCGCATGCTCATCCACAGCTGCTGCAGCTGGCAGCTGCTGCAGCACCACGTTGGCGTGTGCGGGCGCCGCCGCCGGTGCGGGACGGGGCGGCGGCGGCGGCGGCGCCGCAGCCATGAAAGAGGCGGCGGCGGCCGCCGCTGCCGCCCATGGATCCTGCCTGCCCCTTTCCACGCCCGCCGCGCCGCTGTTGGTCGCTGCTGCGGTCGCCGCAAGGCGCTGCTGCAGCCTAAAGAAGTAAGGTCGGGGTTGGCGCGGGGTCTCTCGAGCGGGCGTCACCCCCATCGCCGCCGTCCCTCGCTGCCGCTGCTGTTGCTGTTGCTGTTGCTGGCTCCGGGGGGGAAGCACCGTCACCCGCCAGCGCTCACGCTCACGCTCGCCCTCGCCGCCGTCACGGTCGAGGCCGCCGATTGCCTCGGCAGCGGCACTGGTTCCCTCCCGTCGGAAGCTGATCGGGGCACCGGGCGGCTGCCGCCGGGTAGTATCCGAATCGTAGGATGCATCTGCAGTACCGCCAGCACGGCAGAATGGCCAGCAGCCATGAAGCCGTCTTCATTACACCCCTTACCGGTACTGTTTGGTAATAACGCAAGACAGGATTTCCTTCCGAATATTTTTCTCATCAAAATTTTCCGAGGAAAAATCCCTTTTCAGTTTGAGGTTAAGGAACTTCAAATAACTTTGACCGACCCAGATCAGAGCTTGCTTAACGCAGCCGGTCAGGAGGAGCCGCCCGCTTGATTTAGCTTGATTAGCTCTCAAAAAAACTATTTTAATAGAACTATTCCCCTCACCAGTTTCCGCCAGGCGGTCGGCGATGCGGTGCAACTGCCGCAGCAGGTCCCCCTGCTCGGTATCGCTCGAGCGGCTCGCCGGCTGCCGGTACCCCGCAGCCATCTGGCCAGCCCATGAGTCCCCCCGACTGGGATGGAGCTCTTCCTGCTGGCTGTCGACCCGTGTGCCATGCTGCACATCCAAGCCGCTGTGCAGGCCATCCCCTCGGATCACCTGGCCGCGATGTTGATGTTGATGCTGGTAATGGTGATGGTAGTGGTGATGTTGGAAATAGGCGCGGTACCATTCGTGGTAGTGGTGGTGATCGTTGGGCTGCCGCTGGGGGTTGTTGTGCTGATGGCGGTTCTGCTGTTGTTGTTGCGGGTAGTCGTGCACTGGTGAAGGCGGCACATCGACCTCCGTGAAGGTTGCATCGTCGCGGATGTGGGTCACGTACGTGAGGATGCGGCGCTGCAGAGGAAATCAAGCAGAGGGAGCATGAACATGGATGGACATGGAACCTAAGGCAACGTTTAGCAAGGAGGGGACTTTTTTTTGGAGGAGGAGGTCGATGCCGGCAGTCGCACGGGCAGCGTGTGGGAGATATTGGACGAAATCTGGGTTGTTGCGGGTTTTGTAAGTTAGGGAATCTGGGCCCATATGAATGCATGAGCCTGCGGCACGTCGTGATAAGCCAGCGGCCCAAGCAAGCCGCGTTCCCTGCCCAGGGGTAAATTACCCGTATGGGTGTGGGGGATTTACCTGCATTTGCTTGCCAACCTAGTACCCTGTGTCATTAGTTTCTCGTGTTGTTGCTCACCTTACACAAGGGACAAAATCTCTTAACTCGCAACCACTCTGCCAAGCAGGAACGGCAGAACGTGTGCATGCATCCCGTGACCGCCTTTTCGAGAGGGTCCAAGATGTCGGTTAGACCTATAATTTCAACGCACATATTACTTTTTAGGTGTCTTGTTGAAACTCTGACCACGCGAGGTCAGGCAATGGGATGAAACGGAAGGTATGCGTCCCAATGGTAACAAACAAGCTTAATCCAGCGTGCACTTACATATTGGGCAGCTCGGCAAAGGTTCGGAAGGCCCCGGGTTTGGACTGTCCTCATCGTCGCTCGAGCTCAACTCCACCACTTCGGCCTTGCGCGTAACTTTGCCTATGGCATCGTGCATGCTTTCCAGCAGCAGAAACACTACACCACCAGTACTCTGAACGTTATGAACAAGTGGCGAAAGGTGCAAAGTTGTAAGTTGGTTGCAAACAACCGTCACTTAAAAAGCGGCTACCTACAAAATTTGGTCCTCGTTTTCCTCTTAGCATACGCTGACGTCCCTGTTAAGAGAACCTTGAGACATGGTTTTGTGTGCAATGTCGTACATGCCGTTGTGGCAACGTTGGTCTCGCCATAGCCACAACAAATTGCAGAACGCAACGTTTGCGCACTCACCACTCCAGTGAAAGTAAATTTTGAGGTTTGCACAACCCGATGGCAAGTTCCTCGCCTAACTCTACAGGCATCGTCGCTGCCAGCGTGTTTTGAACATCACACATCTTCAATCAAAATGCTTCACCTGGATCCGCCAGAGCAGCAAGCCATAAAAGTTCTAACCGGCTCATCAACCGGCAACCCCAACTTCTAAAGGGCCTATTTTCACGGCCGCCCGCATAAGACGATTTATAATGTTGCCTGTTGACTCCCGGCCTCAACAGCGTCCTGAAGCGCACAAACAAATAAAAACCGCCTCCCCCTCCACACGATATGCCCCTCCACCTGTACGCGAGATTTACTGCGTCCCTCCAGACTTCCTCCCTCCCTACCATCCCACGTGCCCTCGCGCCCACCCACTTCGCCTGCCGCACCCGCCACCACACACCCAAACCCAACGCACATCACCCGCACATAAAAAACTGCATACATTCACACCCGCGCACAGCCACTGCAACTGCCAACCACACACGACAGCTTTGCCCTCCCGCTCCCTCCCTCCCTCCCGCTCCCTCCCTCCCTCCCTCCCTCCCTCCCTCCCTCCACCCTCCCAGGACTCATTCAGACTCTATCCGCTGTGTATACGTGCTCTCTGCCCCTCTCCGCTATCGCCTGCCTCCCCTCCTGCCTCCCCCCTTTTTCCGATTACTCTTCCCACCCACCCACCCACCCACCCACCCACCCAAACACTCACCCACCCTCACTAGCATTAAGGAATGCTGTGGACGTCGGCA